TTAGCAAACAGGGACACACAAATGGGCTCAGTGCCAGCGCTGGTGTCTCTGGGCTCCGAACTGCGGGGGCAGGAGCCGCTGGGCACAATCCTGAGCAGCCTCTCGGCTGCTGGTTCTTCCCCTCGGGAGGCTGAGCCCGTTCTGCAGCTGCCCTGGGTCAGCAGCGTCCAGGCAATGGCACCCCCATGTCACCACAGGGAGCTTGTCTGCAGGTGGGGTTTTTTTTCAGAAAAACCCAACCCAACAAAACAACAACAACAAAAAAACCTGTGAAAAAACCCAAATTCCAGTTCCCTGCCTGCAGTTTCCCGTGCATTTGCAGTTTGAAGTTCGTGTGTTTTCTTATTTCCTCTTAAAAGAACACCAGGATGGATTTAGAAAAAACTGGTTTTAGTCATTAATCCATTCCTTTCTTGTGCCCACAAGAACTACTGGTGAGTGACCTCTCCCTGATCCCTCAGCACGACTTTAGAGCCTTTCTTCAATTGAACACTTCCCCCCGATAATGAAAGGTTGTATAAAAAAGTCATAAATATAGTTAGGACAATATTTTGGGTTGGGTGTATTTTGGTCCATCTTTTCTGGTATCATTTAAAGTGCACACCCCCATTCCAGCCACGTGGGACCCCTTCAGCCAAAAACCTCGCCCTGGGTTTCTCAGATGTCACGATGGTGGTCGTACATCTCCAACAGCTTCTCATTTCTTCTGGCTCCAAACTGTACAGCAGTCACGAGGTGAAAGTTCGGGATAATTCTGTCCCCTGCCCGGGTGAGGAGGGGGGTGACAGAGCAGCATCTGGCACCAACCAGGGCCAGCCCATCACGGATCCCTTGGCTGGGAACTCTTAAATATTTGTAAGTAAGCAAGGTGCAAAAAATGGACTTTGTTCCTTTGAAAATGAACCACACTGAGATCTACTGAACAGCAAAACAGCCAAAGAGCTGTGAAGTCAAAGCCACGCCTCTGTTATTTGACTCTCTTCCCCTGTCTGTGGCTCAACTCAATAGACTCAGTTCCGAGAAATCAGCCACCCGTTGACAGCTGCCCTGCGAGGTGAGGACTCGAGAGCAGCCCCTGGGCTGCCAAACTCGGGCTGGTGGGTGCTCCCTGCCCACAGTGA